AAGACCAATAAGAGGGTATGTCCTCGACGCTCAACCACGTTCAGAAAACAATGGACTCAATTAAATCATTAACTCGGCGACTATTCCTCTTTTTCACGTGGACCATATCAGAAAAGAAAATGGTGAAAATAAGGAGAGAAAATTCTAGTGTTTGTGAAAGTTCAGACCGCTGATTTTTTTAACCAGGTTAGGCTAAAGGAGGAAGGAAGGCACGGCTCGGTCTTAAAGTCCAACAGATTTAGGTCAGGCCAGACCAACCCAAATACTTAAAGGTAATTATAAAATAAATAAAAAAACAGAAATGGTAAAAAATATGTCAATATAAAAAGTTTAAGGAAGTATATAGATCAATTTTTAGTTATAAAAATTAATAGGCTATAACTTGTCAAGTTATAGTTCATAACCAGATAAATTATGGACAAACTTGTTAAGTTATGGTTCATAGTCAGACAAATTATAGATAAAAACCGTGATTTATGAACAATAACTTGTCAAGTTATAGTTTATAACCAGACAAGTTATGGACGAAAATAATAATTTGGCCTATTTATTAACTTATGTAAACTATTAACCTATTAATTTTAATTTATCTCAAGTCTTGATTTATTTCTCTCTTTCTCTAAAAAGAAAAAAAAAAAAAAAAAAAAAAAAAAAAAAAAAAAAAAAAAAAAACTTCGGATAGGCTGAACGATCTACATTCTAAAGCGGGTCAAGTCGGATCAGAGCCAAGTCAATAGTGACGGGCTTTAAACTGGCCCAAACTTCCAGCTAGTGTGTTTCATTTTTCTTTTGGTCTTTCATAGAAAGAGATCAATCATGTATTGATATAACAGGTGGATCGTCATAAATGTTTTATGTGTCCCTATATCCATAGAGAAAAGAAAAAATCACATTTTATGCTACTAAAATCCAACGCTTTTATATTCATACCATCTTTGTTATTTTTTTGTTAAATATTAAAAAAAATATTTAACCATAATACTCTCTAGAATTGTCCGACCATTTATCGATAAGAAAAAAGATAATATGTATTTCTGTAAAGATGACCAAAGTTGAATTGACCCTAAGAATAATTTGAAGCAGGAGATTTAGCGACGAAAAACTAAAGTAAACAAATTAAATATAACAAAATGGTAATAATCAAGAGATAAAAATTCAAGGGAGAAAGAGGAAAATAGGTCAAGAGTTGAGATGAATTAAAATTAATAAGCTAATAGTTTACATAAGTTAATAAACATGTCAAATTACTGTTTTTGTCCATAACTTATCTGGTTATGAACCATAACTTGACAAGTTATTGTCCATAATTCACGGTTTTTATTCATAACTTGTCTGCCTATGAATCAAAACTTGATAAGTTTGTCCATAACTTATCTGGTTATGAACCATAACTTGACAAGTTATGGCATATTAATTTCTATAACTAAAAATTGGCCTATATACTTTCTTAAACTTTTCATATTTGCCTATTTTATACTATTTCTGAAAATTCAATAGTAAACGGCTCTAAGGTTTCTGATTTCACCAAGATCATCAAGCTCAAATTCTCAATTCTCAATCAATCAATATGTATTTTTATGCTGATAGTGGATTTCTCTAAATTAATTACTAATATTTCTCAAGCATTAATAATTATACTCCAAACATGCAGACCCTACATCTCTATTAAGATTTTAACATGTTAAGATTCATTAAGAACAGGAAGTCATAATCACTGCACTAGTCACATAATTATCTCTAATTTATGATGTTCTAATGACATTATAATCAAGAGTTATGTTTAACCATCACTTCTCAGCCTCAGAATTAAACATTAATTCATGTAAAAGTTGGCCAGACATTTACAAGCGTTAAGAACATATTATAACACTCATGGACGTTTGATTCATGGATTCAGAACCATGTTTCAGAACCATTCTCGTTTTACGTGTGTATTTTGTGAGAGAAAACACTGTAGAGAATCATGAATCATAATTCAGAATCAGGGACGAATATAAAAAACAAACATAATTGAATAAATATTGATTAAATTGAAAATAGGAAATATTAAATAATCACAATCCGGCTACATGTATTCCTAGAAAATAAAATTAAAACATAATTACAAAAGAGAACATCCTAAGCATGGTTTTTAACATAAGAGAAAAGAGGAAAGAAGAAATTGTTTGCGAAATCAAAGGCTGGTCTTCTCTTCCGTTGTACGTGAATTCTCCTATATTTTCCGCTGCCAAAAGATCCAAAAAATAACCCTAAACTTTTTTTATTTATACTCTTGGGTTCGTATGGTGTAAAATTAGAAACAAAATCAAATTTGTTTTAGCCACCTCATGAACGGGCGTTGTCTGACGCCATCTGTGCACCTGTAAAATTGCGATAGATTAGGAAGAAACCTTAGAGAGAGATAAAAAGCGAGTAAGCTAATTTTTAATTCTTTTTTTTTTTTTTGCAATGTTAACTGTTAATGACAGCTTTAGACAACTTAGGGCCCGTTTAGTTCGCTGATTCGAGTTTTTAATTCGAGTTGAGATGTGATTGTTTGTGAGAGCTTTTTACTGTAGCAAAACTCAAATTCTAAACTCAAATCAGCGAAATGAACAGGGCCTTAGTAGTTCACTTTTTTCGTTGTATATATCTAACGATATATAAAAGAATCCAAAACTCTTGTAATAGTACTCTTCTTGTCACTTGACGGCCTCTCATTCTCCCATATTTTTTATTTTTTTATTATCTTTATGGGGTTGTTACGTGATAGTCCATCCATTTATTATTATTTTTTTTATCTAACAACACATAAAAGTGTCAAAGCTCTTTTCTATTGGATTGCCACGGGTAGTCTCTTCACTTATTTTTTTTTTCCTTTTTTTACTTTGTTTATCTTTATTTTTATATTTTTTTACATTTTAATTTTTTGTGTGTTTTTTTAAATATATTATTCCCCATTTTATTTTTATGAGAGTAATTTTTTTCACATGTATTTCTATTTTATTTTTTATTGGTTAAAATAATTTTTTTAAATGTGTCTGCTTTTTTTTTCTTTTTATCAGTGTTATATTTATATATATTCTTTTTTAGAATAAATTTAAAAATCTTTAAATGATTGTATAAATAAATTTCTCATTACGTAGATAAGAAACTTTTTATGTGTCTCTAAACACGACAATACGTGATCCTACAAAACTAGTGTTTAGATAATAGCCCAATGATAGCAACAGTTTTGAGGGAAAAAAAAAAAACATTTATTAGATTTAGAAGACCATTTGTGGCCATGGAATGGAAATGGAATCATGACCTTAATTAGTTCAACTTGAACAAAGAGAACAAACAGATCTTGACCCAAATTCACCCTTAAAAACTGACTCCATCAACACTCCACTAAGAGTGTGTTCGGCTGCCTAAAAAACTCAAAAAAAACTAACTCGAGTTTCAACTTTATTTAAGTTCATGTTCTTTTAAGTTTGAATTCAAGTTTGAACTCAAGTTTGAGACTAAGGGTGTGTTTGGTAAGGGGATTTGTACCCTGATTCGAATCATGGTTCATAGTTCGCTATAGTGTTTTCTCTCACAAAAAATACACGTAAATCAAAAATGGTTTTAATCTCATGATTCTAATCCATGAACCAAACATCTCCTAAGAGTATGTTTGGTAGAGGGATTCGTTCTCTTATTCGAATTATGATTCGTGGTTCACTACAGTATTTTCTCTCATAAAAAATTCTCGTAAATCGAAAATGGTTCAAATCACATGGTTTGAATCCGTCAACCAAATGTCCCTAAAACTCGAGTTCAAGTGTTCCCTTCAACTCGAGTTCAGAAACTCAAACTCAAATTAATTAACAATATTTTTTCTATTCTTAAAAATGCTACAACTTTTTTGTTTTAATCCTGTTGAGATGATTTTTTTTTCTATGTGTTGACAACGAAAAGACGAATAAAACCCCACCCATATACCCTATTAAAATTTTTCATCACCAATGAGTTTTTATTAAAATACTATATAAATACAAATTTAAGTTTTAACTCACTCAAACACAAACTCAAAAAAAGATTCTTATCTCAAACCATAACTTAAATGTACACAACCAAACACAAACTCAAGTTACAATTTTAACTCAAATTATAACTCAAATTCAACTCAAAAACTACATTCAAATCACAATTCAAATCACATTCCAAAAGAATAAACCCTGAATCATCCAATTCAATGGTCCATACATACACAAACACACACACACACACACACATATATATATATATATATATATATATATATATATATATATATACACACAAACATATATGCGCCGCGTTAGAAGCATCCGATTCGATGATTCCAGAATCCAAGGATGTGTGGGCGAGGTCCACGTTGGGCAAAAGCGTCCAATAATTCCTTCTTTTTTTCTTTTTTTTTTGAGTAACGAATAATTCCCCATATGGTATTTTTTTAGTAGAAAAGCTGAACTAAATTGGTATTTGGGCATATATCCAATGAGGCCAACAAATTATCTCACCCGAATATCTAACAATCTTTTGAAGTTATCTATAATCTAATGACCCACCTTTTGGTCTTGTCTGATTTTCTTTCGGAAATGAGAGCAATAATTTCTAACATGATTGATTGGTATGCTGTGTTTTTTTTTTTTTTAGCGTTTTTCACGTTTTCTTTTCCTTCTTCGGAGCGTCTAGAGTAATAATTATCGTTTTTGAGCATCCAGGTTAAAAACTTTATAATGCACCACATAAAATTATTTCTAATTATATATCAAATTGTTAAAACATTAATTTAACAGCTAAAACAACATCCAGTAATTAGTGTGGTCATAAAATTATTTATGAAATTATGGTAAAATGTTCTCTAGGATAAAAGTAGTATACTAAAAGAATTAATAGTAGCTCAAAGTAGTGTGGTCACGATCAAAATGAGTCAAAATTATGATCACTCACGCACTGGCTTAAAACACACACTACCTTCATTATAAGAAAAAATAAAAGAAAATAAAATAAAACCACAGGCACACTAGCATTATAAGTCAGTGTGAAAGTCTTTTGTTTTTTGTAGTTTTTACAAAAACTGTATTTGAGACCTTGACAAAGTTAGACATGGAAAAAGCTCAAGAACTGCAGCTTCAAATAACGAGTAAGTAAGCTATCTTAATTTTTATTATTATTTATTTTTTCAAAAAATTTTAACATTCTCATTGTTATGAAGACAACATGAGCACACGCAGAAAAATTCCATCACATGCAATTCTTTCTGCGGTATCATATGATCATGTTGTGGGATTTCTAAGGTCATATACAAATCTAGTTTGTAGTTTAGCATTAGTTAGTTCTCCTTTTTGATCTTAGCAATAAACAAACTAGTTATCATAAACAAACACTAATATAAGTTCTTGTCCTTTGGCATGCATGTTCTTACAACCAGATCATGAAAAGAAAGAGGCAAATTCAGTTGCGCATACAAATGCCAACATGATCACCAACCAATTCCCAACAGAGCTCGAACAAAGAAATTACAAGCGGTGGCTTAGAACGGCCCTATATGCAGTCTTTGTATTGGCTGGCCAAGCAACAGCAACGCTCTTGGGAAGACTATACTACGACAAGGGAGGCAAAAGCAAATGGATAGGCACATTAGTTCAGTTAGTAGGCTTCCCAGTTCTCATCCCATACTATCTCATCTGCATTTTATCCAAAAATCCCACTTCGAATGGCAACCATTTCCATCCTAAAAAACCTTCGCTCATAGTCCTATCTTCTGCTTATGTCGGCCTTGGCCTTCTCATAGCTGGAGTGTGCTTCTTGTCCTCAGTGGGGCTCTTGTACCTTCCATTGTCTACTTTCAGTCTCATTTTTGCATCCCAATTGGGCTTTACTTCCATCTTTTCTTTCTTTCTCAACTCACAAAAGTTCACTCCCTTTATTTTTAATTCAGTGGCCCTTCTCACGGTCGCCTCTGTGCTCTTGATTGTCCAATCCAATGGCAGCGGGGCCTTACCGGGAGTCTCTAGAGGAAAGTATGCAATTGCATTCATATGCACTGTTGGTGCTTCAGCTGGGACTGGACTTTCCTTTGCCTCGACACAATTTGTATTTCGAAAGGTTATAAAAGTGAGGAAAGTCGAAGCTCTCATTGAGATTATAATATTCCAGTGTTTAGTGGCTAGTTGTGTTACTATGGTTGGACTTTTTGCTTGTGGGGAGTGGAAGGGATTAAGGACAGAGATAGAAGAGTTTGAGTTAGGAAAAGTGTCCTATGTCATGACTCTAGTCTGGACAGCCATTTGTTGGCAGGTTTTCGCAATTGGGTCTGTGGGCTTGATCTTTGAGTTGTCTTCCCTCTTCAGCAATGTGATAAGTGCTTTGTGTTTGCCTCTTGTTCAAGTCTTGGCTGTGCTCGCTTTCAACGACAAAATGGATGGACTAAAGGGGATCTCTCTGTTTTTGGCTATTTGGGGCTTTGCTTCATATATATATCAGCACTATCTTGATGATTATTGCAAGTCCAATACTGATGATCCAACGGCCTAATGAGGAGTAGTACTTTCCGAAAGCTCTCTCTTTGGAAGAGATTAATAAATGATATTAAGATGGGCTCTCGTATGAATTATTATTGAGATGAGCGTGAGAAGATTGTGAGTACTAAAATTTGGGATGTGTATTTGTTAGGAGGGACTCACTTGTTTTTTTCCCTTCTTTTTCCTTATATAAAATAAAGGAAGATTATTGCTATCATTTTTTCTCATTAGTTTTGCGTAAAAATAAAAAAAAATAAAAAATAAAAAATCCAATACATCATGCCACAAGTTCAACGTCGTGCAATTTATTGACGGTGTAAGGGCTTCAGAGTAGGGGCTATAGAGTATAGAACATTGAACTTATCTTGAGAATTAGAAGAAAGAAAAACATCTATATTCTATCCAAACTTTTGATGCGCCCATGCTTGGGTGGTTGATAAGAGTAATTGTTTGATGAAGTGGATAGAGGGCTTAGGGGATTTGAAACCAAAAAATTAAACGACTGTTGTGTCCAAGGATGTAATCTAATGTGAATTAAGTAAAATTGTTTTACTAATGGAGTCCATTAACTTTGTGTACATTAATGTAGATAGCATAGTAAATTGTGTAACTTATAAATTTTATTTTTTTCCCCATTTCCTTGCATATTTTTGCCGCAAAAAAAAAAAGAAGAAGAAGATTATTTTCTACATTTATTCCCACGTCCCATAGCAAACAAAATAAGATAAAGTTCTTCTTCCATCCTCTCTAATTTCCTCACTTGAATTACGTAATTCTCTTGGTTTCTATTCCTATCAAACGTTGCCTAAAAAAAAGTGCGTTGAATTGTTGAAGGAAGCACAGGCCTTCTTGTAGTTAATGGCATTTAATACTTGAACTAACATAACACTACGTTTGGTTTGAGAGAGAGATGGTGAGAAGGAGAGAGATGGAGGGAGAGATGCAATCCCTTGTTTGGTTGGAGGAAAGAAAAGAGGGAGAGAGGAGATAGAGGGATGTGCTCTCCTTCTTAATTCACCAAATTAAATCATTCCACTAATGGAAGAATTCATACAATTCATCAATTTTTATTTTTAAAAGACTATTTTACCTTTTAAAAAAACTTATACGTGAATTTCCTCACCAAAAAAAGAAAAAAAAAAGTACGTGAATTTAATATTAGATAAAAGTACCAACGCCGTAATTATCCATTCAAGCATTGCTTTCCCTAGTTTTTTTTTTTTTTTTTTTTTTTTTTTTTTTTTTTTTTTTTTTTTTTTTTTTTTTTTTTTTTAGCATTAAGCTGATTGAATGACTAATTTGATCACAGATAGATTGGGGTTAGTTTTTGGATGTTTTAAACGTTAAGTACCAAATAAAGTGGTTTTATTATAAACTTCGAGGGACCCTAAGAATTTTGCTTTCCAACATACATAAAAAATAATGCAAAGTTGTACAATCTTTAGTCGTCAGGCTTTTGGTCGTGAAAGTTGGTCACCAAACTCGTCTTGATGTCCACTTCCCCGTGGTGGTCGATGTGAGTGGAGCGGCGCTATGATTATTGGGGCAGATTTAACTTGATCTTGGTATCTAATGCTCTACACCATTACTTATTATATAATACAGTAGTAAATATTGCAGGTTGTTGATGACATTGGCCTAAGAAGAATGGTCATTTTCTTCACTAAATAAATCGCTACAAACAATCAACATGCACAAGATAACTGCCAGGCAGCGAAACCACAGTCAAACATACCACTTTGCCTATTTCGATAAATAGACAGACATCTAGCAACACCTCAAGAAATATCCAAACAGGCCAACCCGCTGTTCGTGATGATTAGGGAGTGAGAAAAGAAAAGAGAGAGAGAGAGAGAGAGAAGCCTATGTACTCTACGCAATAACCACTCGTTGAGAACCTTGTGGAGCATTTCTAGCCGCCTGCTCCGAAGCATTGGCAAGGCCCTGCAGCATTCTCAGAATCTCAGTTGTGTCTTCCAAGTAATACTTGGCCTTGCTTGGTTTCTGGCCTACGGTGCAAGCAAAGAGTTCAGCAACGGGAGATAGAGAGTCTTTGGCATTCATTATCACTCCAAACATGTCCTCGTCCGACCTGTCATCCCCAATGCAGAGAACAAAGTCCGGAAGTATTGATTTCTGCTTCATTGTCAAGAGGAGACGTTCTGCTATGAGACCCTTGTTCACGCCCTGTTAAGTTGGTAAGAATCGAAGTTAACACAGAAAGTTTGGCCGTATGCTTAAATACTATAAAATACACATAAATAAAGACTTCAAAAGAGAGTTTCCAAGATCATTTTTATCTTGTTTATAATCTCTCATAGCATATTATGACGCAGTCATTTCTGACAGGAAAATCCAGAGTTTCCTATAGCAATTACCTTATTGAACCTTCTTTTCTTTCAGTCAACAAAATAGTAAAAACTACTTTTTTCTTGTTAACCTCCCTATTGTTGGGAAAAAAAAACAAAAGCCACCTTGAATTTGAAATATAATATTATCCATACATGAGAATGCACTGAAAGCTTTATGCCTCTTCAACTTACAGGAGGCCATGGCATGGCAGGCTTATCAAGTTATTCTAAGTCTGTCTACTTTGCGTGATTAAGAGTCATGAGGAGGTACATAAATTGTCTCAAAAATTTCCTTTAATTTTATTTTCAGAATAAGTCATAATTTTAGGATCAGTCATGTAACAAAACCTGCATCTAAAATCCCCATTTCATGTTTGTCTTGCACATTCCTAATGTTGGCGACAGTAAGAACGGATTACTCAGTAAAATCTTCAAATATCCTCTGCAAACAGTCCACTCTATTTATGACTTTTATGAACAAGAAAACTAGAAAAGAGGAAAATCCCACTAACCTGAGGTTTAACTTCTACAATGTGCTGGCCGCTCTTGACAGAAACTGGCTCGTTGGCAAGAACACTTTCAAGGTGATCAAGAAGCTCCTTCGCTTGACAAGATCCGAAATCTGGATCGGCATGCTGGTAGTTCCAAACAAGAGCACTCTCTTTGGCTTCTATCGTAGAACCATCGGTCGTTTCAGTATATAACTGCATTACAGGTTCAGCAATTTGCTTCCAATCAAAGTCTGGAATGGACACACAAGTTTCCCAATCTGCATCATGGTTTGTCCTGCGAAATGGATAACCCCCAACTTGTATCAAATGAGACTCTCTGTCATGTTAATCTCTCTCTGTAATATTAGAAAGTATACCAAGGGAATGATAACAAGATCGAGTTCAATTGACAAGTGCAGTTAATAGTTAAGCCTATCTTTCACTGAACTACAGAAAATGAAAGAAGAATTATAACCAAATAGAAAAACTGCTCTTTGACCATAGAACTCGAGTAGATTCTAGTTCTAAATCTACTGCAAAATTCCAAAGAACAGGAGCATGCTCAAAACATTAACTTCTTTTCAAAACCAAGACAATTAATTTGCTTACAGGTTTACCAACAGGAAATCAGTACTTGTTAAAGTTTTTACTGAAAACTGAAAAACATCACCAGTCAACTGAAAAGATTTTTTAGTCTATGTTATACATCTCAATCCTCTTTCTACTTTGCAAAACCGCCCCAAGAGGCAAAAAAAAAAATGGTCTATGATGAAGAACGGGAATATATATATATATATATTATATATATTGTGTATATCCTTCAAGAAACAAAAGCTATGTATATATTGTGTATATCCTTCAAGAAACAAAAGCCTATGGACTTGGATGCCGTTCTGCACACTTAACATGTCATCTAGATATGTCTACGTGCAAAACAAACAACAATAAAAACACGGAAAATAATTATTCTCATCAAGAAAGTATCCACAAATCTAACATGTTAAGTGCACAGAACAGCATCAAATTGTATAGGACTTTTTCTTGTAAGCAGAAAAAAGACGTTGTGCTTTTCTTCTTCTTCTTTTTTTTTTTCCTTCTTGTTTAACTCCGCCTATGTGTTTGTATAGCCGGTCCTAAATCCGAGTAAAGGAGGAGGGTTGCGGTAAGTTGACGGCCAACGTAAAAATAAGTCACTCTCATGGATTTCACTTATACAGAATCTGTTGGGGCATTCTCTACGTGCGACGCGCTATGCCGGGTCTCGGATATAGTGTTAAATAGGCAAAGAGGGTCTTCGCACATTCATGGACGTGCGCGGGGAAAAAAACGAGCCCATGCGCCATGTCGGGCCCCATATATGGTGAAAAAAAAAAAAGCAAGGGGGGTCCTTGCACATTCATGAACGTGTGCAAGGGGCAGAGCAAGCTCATGATAGGAAAATTCGTTTAGGTAGTTAGAATGTAGATTCTTTAACTGTTAGATCTATACAGTTAGTAGATGTTATGGTAAGAAGAAGAATTAACATTTTATGCTTACAGGAAACGAAGTGGACAGGAGAGAAAGTAAAGGAGATTGAAAATTTAAGACACAAGTTATGGTATACAAGTTGGGAAAAGAATCGCAATGGAGTTGGTATTCTAATGAAGAATGACGTAGTTGAGATTAAGCGAATAGGGGATAGAATTATTATGCTCAAATTGGTACTAGGAAATAAATTCATCTATGTAATTAGTGCATACGCTCCACAAATAGGATTGGCTGCAGAAACTAAGTCAAGTTCTGGAAAGACATGGATGACTTAATATGTCGTATAGGCAATGAAGATAGCATTTTCATTGGAGGAGATTTCAATGGCCATGTTGGTAAGGATAAGGAAAACTTCGAAAAGATCCGCGGTGGTTTTGGTTTTGGAGCTCGAAACGAAGAAGGAAAATCTATTTTGAAATTTGCATTGGGACATAATTTTATCATAACAAACACATTTTTCAAGAAAAGAGATTCTCACTTGATCACTTTTAAGAATTGGAGAAACTTGAGTCAGATAGATTATTTTCTCACAAGGTATAAAGAACGTTCTCTATGTAAGGATTGTAAAGTAATTCCTAGAGAAGTACTAGCCACCCAACATAGGTTAGTGATCTTCAATGTGAGCATTAAGCTTTGCTATAGAATGATTAAGATAAACCACCTCCCACGAACTTGTTGGTGGCATTTGAAGGAAATAAAGCAATTGACCTTTAAAGAGAAGTTAGAGGAGGCTACTTAGTTATATATAGGTGATACAAATACTATGTGGGATGCCATGACCAGCTGCATTAGAAAAGTGGTAAAGAAAGTACTAGGAGAATCTAGAGGTAAATGCCCCCCAGGGAAAGAAACCTAGTGGTGGAGTAAGGAAGTTCAAAAGGCTATTAGGACCAAGAGGGATTTATATAGAGATTTACCAAAACGTAAGGATGTTAAACTTTTAATAAGTAGAAATAAGCGAAGAAAGAAGCTAAGCGGGCAGTTGATAAGGCTCGTTCTACTTACTTAGATGAGGTATATAAGAAACTTGAGACTAGAGAATGAGAGAATGACATATATAAACTAGCTAGGATAAGAGAATAGAAGTGTCGGGACCTAAATCAATTGATGTGTGTTAAGGATGATACAGATCTGGTTCTGACAAAAGATAAAGACATTAGGAAAAAGTGAAAGAGTTACTTTGAGAAGTTTTATAATAATGATTATACGATAGAGTTTGACGATCTTAGGTCACAAGGAGAACCTAATGTGATGTATACAAAAGGAATCAGAGTCTCAGAAGTTAAAACTTCATTACGGAAAATGAAAAAGAGGAACGCATGTGGGCCAGATGATATTCCAATAGAGGTTTGGATGGCATTAGGAGATGTTAAAATTGTGTGACTCACTAAGCTTTTTAATGAGATACTAAAGAAGAAACATGTATCTGATACGTGAAGGAAAAGTATTATTGTCCCCATCTTTAAGAATAAAAGGATGTGCTGAATTGTAACAATTATAGGGGCATAAAGTTAATGAGCCACACTATAAAACTTTGGGAGAGAGTTATTGAAAGGAGAGTAAGGGCCACAACTACCATCTCAAGTAACCAATTTGGCTTCATGCCAAGCAAATCAACCACGAAAGCCATTTTTCTTCTTAGGATGCTGATGGAAAGGTACAGAAAACCCAAGCCAGACCTACATATGGTCTTTATAGATTTACAAAAATGCATATGATAAGGTACCAAGGGAAGTTTTATAGTGGGTGTTAGAAAAGAGAGGAGTGCATGTGAGGTATATCAAGGTAATTAAAGACATGTACGATGGGATGGGGTGGTCATGAGTATGAGAACTGCTGGAGGCTACACGGCAGAGTTCCCCATTCAGATCGGCCTTCACCAAGGATCTGCTCTTAATCCTTATATTTTCATCATTGTGATGGATGAGCTGACAAGAGAAATCTAAGATAGAGTTCCTTAGTGTTTGTTTTTTGCAGACGATATAATTTTAATTAATGAACATAGGGAAGGAGTTAACCGTAAGTTAGAAGTGTGAAGACAGACTCTCGAGACGAAGAGATTCAAGTTAAGTATGATGAAAACTAAATACATGCATTGTAGGTTTAGTAACTCAAGTAATTAGAGTGATGAAATTTCTTTAGATGGTGTGGAGATTGGGACTTCTAGGAAGTTTAAGTGCCTTGGGTCTATAGTGCAATACGAATGAGATATAGAAGAGGATATTCAACGTGGGATTAAGGCATGGTGGGTTAAGTGGAAGAATGCTACGGGAGTTTCATGTGATGACAAGATGCCTATTAAGTTGAAAGAAAAATTCTATAAGACTGCAATCCGTCCAGCTATGTTATATGGTAGTGAATGTTGTGCTATTAAGAGACAACATATATGTAAGATGAGTGTGACAGAAATGCATATGTTAAGATAAATGAGTGACCATAAGAGAATGGATCACATAAGGAATGAAGTTATTCGTAATAAAGTATGTGTAGCACCAATAGAAGATAAAGTGTGTGAAGGCCGCTTGAGGTGGTACGGACATATCCAACGTAGACCGCTAGAAGCACCGGTTCGTGTTTAGGATGATATTCTTATACCTAATACTAGTAGAGAGAGGGGTAAATTAAGAATTACGTGGACCGGAGTAGTTAAGAAAAACATTCTAGATTTAGGCCTTTAGGAAAGTCTAATTGCGTGAAAAAATGAAATTCATATAACCGACCCCAATTAAGTTGGGATTAAGACTTCTTGTTGTTTTTTCCTTTTTTTCGGTGGAAAGTGGACATTGTACCTCAGAAAATAACCGTATTCTGCTGCAACTCCCAGCTTCTCACAGGACAAAAACCATTCAGTCAAAGTCTTTCTGTCTTTCCCACTAACAAGGAAAACAATATTTTTAGGGTCTCTGCACAAGCTGTTCAAAATTCCGACAGCCTCGGCATTAGGAGTCGCACTAATCGAACTCGATGTTATCAGAGCACCATCATAATCCAAGAGGATTGCTCGGTTCTTAGTCCTCTTATAAGCCGAAACAATATGCTCGACAGAAAGCTTTCTGAAACTTGGATCCAATGCAATAACCCGAAATCCCAAACCAAAACCAATTCCCCAGCATCTCCTCCTCACATGATCCCTACACGCCCGCTCAAAATCCTGAAAGAAACTCCTCGCCCAATATGCAACATCATGCGTAATAACATACTTGTAATGCTTCTCATGCCTCATCTGTTTCTCTGCCTCAGAGACTACAAGGGCAGAATCCATAGCTTCAGCCACAGCATCAATATTCCACGGGTTAACCCGAATTGCACCACTTAGTGACGGGGAGCAGCCAATGAACTCAGATACAACTAGCATGCTCTTTTTGTGGCTTGTCGGGTTAAGCCCCAAAGTCTCGTCTAGTTTCTCATTGCCTTGCCGACATATTATGTACTCGTAGGGTATAAGATTCATTCCGTCCCTCACTGCTGTAACAAGACAACATTCTGCAATGACATAATAAGCATTTCTCTCATACACCTGAAGTGGGGTATCAATCAAGACCACAGGCTCATATCCTGGCCTTCCAAATGTCTTGTTGATCCTACTCACTGTGGCATGCGTCTCAGACCGCACCTCCTGCACGTCTTTCCCCCGCCCTCTTGCAGGGTTCGCAATTTGTACCAGAACAACTTTGCCCCTCTTGTCAGGATGTTGTATGAGCAACTGTTCCATGGCCAAAAGCTTCAAGCTTATACCCTTGAAGATATCCATGTCATCAACCCCAAGCAAGACAGTGCGGCCCCTGAACTGATTTTGCAGCTCCGCGACTTTTGATGCTGTCTCGGGGAGATTCAACACACATTCAAGCTGGCGAATGTGTATCCCAACGGGGAGAATCTTGATGCTAACAGTTCGACCGTAATACTCAAGCCCAATGTAGCCTCGTTTGGACTGATACGACACGCCGAGCATTCTACTACAACAAGAGAGAAAATGCCTGGCGTAATCAAAGGTATGGAATCCAATAAGGTCAGAATTCAGAAGTGCTCTCAGGAGTTCCTCCCTCACAGGAAGAGTCCTGTATATCTCAGATGAAGGAAAAGGACTATGGAGGAAAAATCCAAGCTTCACCCTGTTGAACCTCTTCCTCAAAAAAGTGGGCAAAACCATCAAATGATAGTCATGAACCCAGACAAAATCATCATCAGGGCTAATCACTTCCATCACTTTATCAGCAAATATCTTGTTCACAGAAAGGTAAGCATGCCACAAGGACCTATCAAACCGACCGCCGAGATCAGGTGACAGAGGAAGCATGTAGTGGAACAAAGGCCACAAATGCTGCTTACAGAAGCCATGGTAGAACTTGCTGAAGAGCTCGGGAGGGAGAAATGCCGGAACGCATTTGTAAGAGTCGAGCAAAGTTTGCGCCACGTCATCTTGCTCATCCAGGTCAATTTCTTCTTTGAGGCAACCGATGTAAATCACTTCGGCATCTTCTCCTAAGCCATCTTTGAGCTGCAAAAGTAAGGAATCCTCGTCCCAGCTGAAATCCCAATCACCATTTTCTCTTCTTTGAACTTTCAGTGGAAGCTGATTTCCCACAATGATCATTCTCTCTTGGGAGACAGAGGAAGGAGCATCAGAGCCAACACTGTTGGTGTTATCGTCGTCAATTTCAGACAACACGCCCGCCACAGTTGCCACTCTTGGGAGCCTTTTCCTCTCACGGCCAAAGGTCGGGGAACCACCAGAAGCGAGATCTAGTAAGTTGGAATAAGACCTCGAGACCATTTTGAGGGTGGCAAAAAAAATGAACCTTTTTACTCGGCTTGGACAAGAAAAGCAACACTAGGTTTCAATTCGATTGCTAGTGGTTGAGTCCTACAAAGAAATAAAAAACACCCATAAGGAAAAATTGAACCACAAGTAATAATAAGGCAAGAAATTTAGCACCACAAGTAATAATAAGGAAAGAAATTTAGCACTCTCTACGCGAATATGGTAATGAAAATTAGTAAGAGAATTGGAAGAATCCACTATCAAACACCTTTTTTATAGCAAATAAACAAAAATCCACTCAAAAGGAACATCAATGTTCTCATGAAGTGACAAAAGCTAAAAACTTGAGAATGAAAAACCCCAGAAACAAAAGTAACAACTAGATTCAGAAGTACCCAGAAGCTAAATCCGGGGAAAAAAAATTCCAAAACAGTGATAAAGATTACCTCCAAAAACTCCAATCACAGAGCAACACAAGAAAAACCCCAGAGCAACACAGCGAAACGAATCAAAGCACCTTAAAGATTCCAAATGCATATTCAATAATTCATCTTCCATTAAAAAAAATATCAGCTAGAGAGAGAGAGAGTCAACTTATCAAGTGAAAGAGGCAGCGAGAGTAACAAAGTGGGAAGAAGTGCAAAGTATACCAGAAGTGGCATGCAACAACACATGAGAAAAAAAGAGAATAATAACTATGGAAAAAGAACAAAACTTTAGGACCACAAGAGGGAGTGAAACTTACCCTTGAAGTCAGAGAGAGAGAGAGAGAGAGAGAATGGGGCTGTGAAGGTTTAGAAAGATTCTTCTCTCTCTTTTTCTCTGTCTAAAAACTCCTTTCTTTTTTTGCAAAACGCAAGAGAAGGGATATAGCATTGGACGGAGGAGCACAACCAAAATACCTTTTGATCTCTTTTACTTCCTGTTGGTCATACAAAAAAATTGCATTCTGATTTTTGTTTTCTGCTTTTTGATTAGCTCAAACAGCAAAATGGGATGTCTATAATAAGTAAAGAAGAATTGGATTCTCTGTCCCTTTCTCTCTCTCTCACTGGCTCGAGTGAATGATGAGTGATGACATGAGGAACAAAGGAAAAACAGTAAAACAGTAGACTCCAACCTTTTTCTTTTTTCTAACATTTATGACGGGAAATATTATTAGGAGATTACTTATCAGTAAGTAAGTTAAATTTTTTTAATCATTAAATTTATATATTTTAATTTTTATGTAGTTTTATATAAATTTAATGAATAAAAAATGATGAGTGATGACATGAGGAACAAAGGAAAAACAGTAAAACAGTAGACTCCAACCTTTTTCTTTTTTCTAACATTTATGACGGGAAATATTATTAGGAGATTACTTATCAGTAAGTAAGTTAAATTTTTTAATCATTAAATTTATATATTTTAATTTTTATGTAGTTTTATATAAATTTAATGGATAAAAAATTTAACTAGTAATATATTGGTTATCAGAAAAGATCTCAATATTATTATGCTTAATCGATAGGAATTGTGTTTTTATTATTTGATTAGTTTTTAACAGTGTAATTTACGGTGTGTTTAATATGATAGAAAAAAGAGAGAAAAAAAATAGATGAAAGACTTTGGAGAGAAAAATAGAATTTTAAGTTGTTTGGTAGAGAGAAAATAAAAAAGAAATGAAAATGAAAATCCATGATACCTATTAATTTTTTATCCTTCTAACCTTGAGAAGAAAAGATAGAGAAAAAATTGACAAATAAATTATGTGTAAAAAAATAATTTTAATTTTTACTATTCATCATATTTTTATTTATATTATAGTTTTATTGTAAAATACTTTAGATTTGATATTTTCTGTTTATTTTTTTCTCTTCTATCAAATAACATGAGAAAAAATTATTTTATTTTCTTCACCTAACTATTTTACTTCTCTTTCATTCTTCTTTCTTATCCATTCTACCAAACACAATATTAGAGTAAAAATAATTTTATATCATTTTAAATTTTTAATGTGAACATATACAAAACTAATTATTTAAAAACTAAACTAATAATTAAAATAATAGTTCTCATCGGCG